CCCCTATGTTGCTGGTTTAACGGCGGTAGGTGGGTGCTTGATCTGTCAGAGACTGTCCTGATTCCTCCTGGAGATTATTTATTGAGCGGAAAGGCCTGACATTTCGCTGCACCGGTGTTTGTGGAGGTCTTGGGGTTTTGTTTGCCAGTCTCCATGAATTGCGAGTTGCTTTTCGCTTTTTTAGATCGTCGTTGGATCTTGCGTATTGCCTCATTACCTCGAACAGCTCCTTTACGGACTGAGGCTGGTTTCTGGCGAAATGGGCAGCACATTGGCCTATGGCTAGACCCTCGATCGCTGCTGCTATCACTGTTGCTTCTGGGACATTTGGCACCTATGCCTTGATCTATATGAATCTTTCTAGGTACTCAAACAAGGGCTCATCATCTCGCTTAATACAGTTCAGCAAGTCTCTTGTAGTTTTCGTTCCTGGCTGATAGCTTTGGAAGGTGGACAGTAGCTCCGCCTTGAGTTGTTGCCAAGAGTGGACGGAAAGGGGCGTCAGTGAAGTGTACTAGTCATGTGTGATGTCTTCGACCGACATGGTAAGTGACTTTGCTAGAGTCTGGGTGTCTTCCCCGGCAGAGACCACGGTTGTTTCGTAGCTGGCTAGGAATTTCTTGGGATTCGTCTTTCCGTCGAAAGTCGGGATGCGAGGTTTGTAACCTGGCAACCATGGGTATAGCTGGAGCTCCCGAGATAGGGGCGAAGTCGGGTTACAGTCTTCTGCGTGTTCAATGAGCAGGGGGGCATCCAGGATAATGACATTTTCGCCTCCAGGTGCGGCAGCCGCGGCGCCTGCTCTGTGCAACCCCTAGATTTCCCTCAGTAATCTTTCTCTCTGTACTTCAGCTTGCCGGATTGCACGCTGGGTCTGGTCGGCTCTATCTCACGCTGCCGCTTGTTGTAGCAGTTGTTCTTCCTCGCGCTGTAACCTAGCGATATCTTGCTGACACTAGTCCAACTTCCTCAGATCCCTGGCTTGTTCTGTGATTTCGCCGTCTTCATCTTCTTCCACTACTTCGTTTCCATCTTGGTCAAGTTCGACTTCCTGAGCTATGCCCTCGGACGTTTCGTCTCGACCACAGGGGGGAATTGGGTCGTGCCCTTGCGGCTGAGGCACAGGTGGTTCCGTCGATGCTGCTGCTGCTGCCGCTGTCGCGGCCGCGCCATTCCACGCGGCCGGCTCCGCGGCGACGACGGTCGTAGCTCTTGGTGCCTCCGTCCTGTCCGCTGCTGGTTTTGGTGCTTTGTTCTTTGGTGGCATGATAAGCTCGAGCAACAACCACGGTGGGCACCAATGTTGTTCTAGGCCTCAGGCTTCGAACACCAGGTTGAGGAACGAGCGAATCAAGCAACCGAATACCAGTTCGAACACTGGGAGGACAAAACGAAACTCATGTATGTATTATGGGACCATCTGTCTCTCTCTTTACAATCCCTGTCTCGGGGGCTTTTTATACATGCCCGCAGGCCTTCCATGGACAAAAATACCCCTCTACCTCCTACACATTCGAGGAATATTCCCGTCCGCCCGGGACTCGTTCGCCTTTTGGGAGATATCGCCCGCCTTAGGTAGCGCCGGCCCTCTGGTCCCCGCGCCGTGCCGCCCTTTTGCCAACCGAGCGATCCCCAGTAGGTCGGGGTTGTCGGTGCCCTGCCCCCTGGTGAGCTCTCCCTCGGGCGAAAACCTACAAGGTCAGACATACAAGCAAGCGACAAGTATTTGACCAGGCAAAATGGCCTGGACGACCACTATGATTACCGGTCCGCTTACACCTCTTCGCCATGGCGAAAGGAGCAGACCCAGCGCCTGGACCGTCCGGGCCCAAAATACGCGACTAAGAAATTCTCCTCGGCGGCATGACGGCACCTTCTCGCCCCGGCGAAAAGGCAGCGAATCCCAAGGGACGCAGGGCTGGCCTTTTTGCCCGAGCGAAAAGACATTGGACCTCTGCCCAACGCTGTGCCACCATTTCGCCTTGGCGAAACGACATGTGATAACCAGGTTTCCCTTTCTTCCGCGCGTGTCCCACGTCCTTTCGCTATGGCGAATATGGGGCCTCATGGGGGGCGACGGCGTACGAGCCCCATGGGGGTGCCCAAAGGCCTGGCGCGCCCCCAACAACTTCCTTATTATATTTTTTTGAATTCTTTATTAGATTTTTTTTTAGACAAGACATCCTTATTAGATGGTCTTAACCTACTGCACACAACGCCTCGGTGTATTCAAATTCCAAAACGATCGGCGTGTGGACTTTGGAGCGGTAAACGCGGCAGTGGTGTCATGAAGAAGCCCGGTGCGCAGCGTCAGAAGTGGCTGAGCGGGCTTGTAGCGTTCCAATGCTCTCTGTTAAGGCGGTGTGTGTTAGCGGGTTCTGGGCTTGGCCTGTTGGGCGTAGGGGCTCGGCCCAGTTGTGTTGTGTGTTGCAGCTATATAAGCTGTTGCAACTTCTTTCCAACTCGTCTCAAAAAAAGAAAAAAAAACTATCTTTCCAACTGAAAACTCTGAATCCCTCTGTTCCTCGCCCTTTCTGAACTTCACCCTGTCCATGTTCTTCCCTTTCCCCTCTAGTTCATGACAAGTGGCGCCTTGGTCCTCCAACGTCCTCCGACTCCACCGCGGGAGCCGGCGCCTGCGCCCCCGCGCCACCGTTTGGTAGAGACTGAGATATTTCTGCGTTTAGTTTGCATCAAGGGCGCCACGAAATGAAAACGTTACTGTGCATATATCCAACGTAACACGTGGACTGATGGATAGTATTTTTCTCTCACAACAAATCGATCGAAACAGTATTTTGGGTTTGTTTTTCAGCGAAGCCAACGGGGCCTATATAGCTGGGTGCAGCGGAGTAAACAGGCGCTTCATTATTTTGGTGGGCACAAACACTGGATACAGATCGGGCACAATATATGATACGGCCTGGCACGCAGGAAACTAGTGCCAGTACGTGCCCTGACACACGGACATGTGGCAAGCAACAAAAGACGACGCAATTAAAGTATTTAACGCCACAATATATATAAGCGGCGGACGCGACGATATATATCACTGCAGGATCGATAGGCAGCCGCCTGCCTTGCCTAGCTCAGCTCTGGCCCTGCTTGGCGTCCTTCTTCTGATGGTGCTCGTGGAACGCGAACCCGGCCGCGCCCAGGGCCGCCACCGCCGCCACCTCCTCCTTCACCTTGTGCCCGTGCGCGATCTCGGGGTCCTTCTTCGCCTTGTGCTTCTCGTGCTGCTCGATCGATCCAACACGCACACACATACACACCATAGATAAGCATGCATGTTGGAGTAAATAAGATGAGTAATATCAACAAGAGACGGCGCTTACAATTGCGTATGCGCCAGCGGCGATGGCACCGAGCCCGCCGAGCTGCTCCAGGTGCTTGTGGTGCTTCTCCTTCTTCTCGTAGTCCACCTCGCCGGTGCTCGCCTCCTCCTCGCCGTCCTTGTGGCGGTGGAACAGGTGGTGGTGGTGCTTCTTCTCCTCATCAGCCATTGCCGATCGATCTACAAGTAAGCTAGGTAGGGCTCGCTAGCTAGCTAGAGAGAGATCAACTGATGATCAGAACAACCGATGAGCGATCAATGCAAGTTTAGTTTCTGCTGGGTGGCGATGGATATGAACCGAGTAATATGCACAGGTATTTGTAGGACCAAACGAAACGAACCCTCCGTCTGCTCTTCCAATACCACCAGCCGGTCAAATACCGCCGTCTCCACTTGGCGATTATTCTTCTTAATGATCCACTAACCAAGGACAAATTAGACGTCGTAATCGTGTTGCGCGTTGCATAGATATTATTAGCAGTTACCCAAGTTTTAAAAACTCAAATGTACCTACTAGCACGTCTAGCAGGCGTCCCTGTAAATCATTTGTGAAGGAGAACTTAATAGAGCTGTATGAGGAGCAAAGTCAAGATCATTGGTTGTTCGCGCCTACGCGGATTGGAAATTGGAAAACTGAAATACGTACGCTATCAAGTGAAGAAGTATTGATCCTTCATTGTGAACCCACGAGGCGGCGATTTAGTTTTTGTCACTCCAATGGGGGTTGCATACACTACACCGGTTGCATCGGTCAGGCGGAACGGGAAGGAAAGGTACACATCAGATGTCCATTTCGTCGGTTTTCTTCAGAGCTAAGGCTGCAAATCACCTTATCAGATCACAGTTGTTTTTTTGGGGGCATTATTGACTCTGACCAGGATCACAAATAGGACATATAGCAGTGATCACTATAAGCATCTGATCACTCCAAGAGAGAAAAAAAATGTTGCAGTGATCACTATAAGCATATGATAAATCTGTACCGGAGTTGCCAGCTCAAGGGCCGTCAATTTCAATTCGTACTGTCGCAAGGTTCTGGTGGCCTGAATGCGTCTTGAACACATCGATTTTTTTTTTTGGGGGTTGATAGCACATCGAAAAGTTGGGCTCTATAAAAACTGCCTCAGATCCAACACGTGGAATTCTAGGAAAAAAAACAAATTAGCAAGTGAAAATGTAGAACTGATGCTATACAGCAGAACAGTCTGCAACCATGTCTACGGTAACTGGAGTTGGAGGGCACTAAACCAAACTAAACTGCAGACCATTTCCATGTAGGAGAACTACATGTAAATCATGATATCACCTGATGTGCTCACAAAATCAAAATATGCGGCAGTTATCCTACATATCAACTGACAGAATGCTTTTGAAAAAAAAAAGAAGCTGCATATGCGCAACTACAGCTCAGCTGACAATATTTATCATGGAGTAGCTGTTTCTATTGAAAAGGAGTTCATCTACACAATTCAGCTAATAATATGTTTTCTGTAAGTAGCTTTCTCTGTCAAAAGGATTTGGTACTCAGTGATTCTATATGAAATATTTTCCCCATACACAAACCAGGGAACGCCATCCCTTTCAACCTAAAATCCATTACTTTCAACTCACTGAGTCTTCTAAATAGAATGTGAATATCAAAATCGGTGGGACATCAGAAAGATCATCCGTCATTGGTTAGCGTGAATGCCAGGAGAACAAACAAGACGGTAAAAACAATTACAGCTGCAGCAAAGGAGAAGATAAAGCGCTGTGAAAAGCCCTTCTTTTCTTGAACAGCCAGCTCAACTTCATTTAGCAGGCTCCTTATTTCAAAGACGTCAGAATCCTTTGCAGCACGGAATAGTCTCTTCTGAACCTCATCAAGCTTGGAAAGCCTTCTGGATCGATTGGTTTCCATTGCAGACCAGAGGAACCCAGTCATCCTCCACAAGAGGATCCCGATGTAGATTGCTACAATGCAGTCAACACTGTAATGATGGCGCTCCCGTACCTCCCTCTGAGCGCTGTGGATGACGAGGAACCATATCACAACAGAGCTCCATCCCCCATATGCTTCCTGTGAGGAAATGTGGACGAATAATGCATTAAGGTGTTAAAATGATATTTGTCAAGAGCAACATATGAACACGTAAATTAAGCAAGACAATAAAAAGGAGGCTCTTGTTACGTCTTCAACGTAACTTAGCATTGGTTATACATATCAAACCACTCTATAGGTTTGTTTCTGAGGTAACGAATTGTAAATGTAATGGTCGATTGAACAGTAATTGTCACGGAGCATATAGGACATTGCAGAACACATCAGATTGCAAGGAATCAAATACAACTTTATATATCAATTTTGTTTTGGCCATGGTGCAACATATCTAAAATAGGATGACTCTGGCCAGTTAGAGCTGATTTCAGTTGCAGCAGGAGTGCATGACATTGGAAGGGTAATTTGAAGACGTGACATGAACAATCCAAAGTTGAGAAGAAGAAAGCATCGCATACCACCCATGCCATAGCAGTTAGGACAGCAACAAACATATGTCCACTATAGATAAGATCATTACAACCACCACTTGATTTCCTCAGCAAATGATACCATGAGGGCCCCTCACCAGTGCTTGGCCTCAAAATGTCTACTAAGAAACTCATCAATCCCCAGTCAGGTTTATATTCATCAGGGTAATCTTGAAGAGTAGCTACAATCAGGAAGGATGAAAAGAAAATGAGCTCACACTGGTCTATCAAAGCAGCTATATTATACAGTTACCAATAAGGATAATAAGCTGAATGTACTGACCGTATGGGGTATCCTCTTTCATGACCCTCCAGATCATGTTTGGATCCGAAGCATAAGGAGCATAATATTTCTGTGCCCAAGGATGTGGATGGTCAGGTATTTGATATCGAGCTTCGGCACACCAAGGTCGAGCAGATGGAAGAATCGTAGCAAGAAATGTTATGGTCCGGAGCAAACGTCCAACTGCCATAGTGAACATATACCTTGAGCCTATCCCGAGTCCAGGACCTTTGATGCAGTCAAACAATGCCGAAAACGCCAGCATGATAAACAACATCAAGTAATGATGAAGAGTGATGATGCGAGCTTTCAGTAGATCAACCACTGTTTGGGGAAGTTTCCCACTCAATGCTAGAAGCATCCACTGGCCAGTGTCAGGAAGAGGAGCAGTAGATCTGTTGATAACAGTGAATCTCTATTAGTATAGCTCTTTTCATAGTGAATAGTTCCAGTGCTTCAGATGAGCAAAATATTGATTGCACTGAAATATGTAGACTATACAGGGGAAGATGATGAAAAGACAAAAATTGCTCGGTGAAAGTCTAACAGTACTAATATTAGATAATCTCATGATTCCAGGTTGCCCGGTCACCCCAGGCAACTGCCTAGGCTCGTCGATAAAGTGCAGAGGAAAATTTCTCTTTAAAGAGGACCGCTGTATTTGTCAAAGTAAACATTTTTGCATAACGAGAATTGCTCGGATTACTAAAAGTTTCTGGCTCCGCCACTGTAGGTTGGGGAGGAAATATTAAACTACTAATAGCCGAAGTAAAAAAATAACCATGTGAAGATTTAATGTATCATGCTAATTAAAGAAAACATTCAAGTTTCAACCCCAACAAACAATAATCTATACAAAATCACTAGATGATGAAAACGGAATAATATCTCTAGTTATTGCCTGCACCTATGTATTTTTCACATTAAGGAATATAAAATTCCGGCCTCAACATCCACGAATGAATGAGTACAGCCTAGCCGTTCAATACACACACATAGTCCTTACTACTTAGACTATACTTTACCACAAGGCACAAGTTAATACAAATTTTAGGACACAAGATTAAGAAGCTAGACTTAAGTCTGCACCTATGTATGTATACCATCAACTGCTGTCATAGCACCTATGTATAAGGCAGTGGATTTCACTGCCATAACAATTAACGTCCAAAATGCCAAGTTTTCACGTGCTATTTCCTAAGCGACACTTCTTCAAAATTTTCGATAAATAACTATGATTCAATGCATATAGTGAGAACTACAGTCTGTGGTTAAAAGACAACGTAAAGGTCACCATGGATGTAATCACACATTTGTGTAGGAAAATTCTAAAATGTTCAAATATTTGGTCGATCGGTTTTGCATTGCATCAGTCACGAGAAAGGAACTGACCGGTGCCACTGGAGGCCGAGGACGGTGCTGACGAAGCGGACGGAGATGGCCTCGCAAAGTAGCGCCGCGAGCATGAACGCTATGGCAGCGAAGAACCGCGGGGCGGCGCGGACCTCGGCGTCCCAGCGCCGGTAGAACGGCGCGCGCGCGGCGGTGGCGAGCGCCAGCGCTGCCCAGAGCGCCGGCCGCAGCCGCCCGTGCCAAACGGGGGACAGATGCCGCAGGTAGTCGACGCCCACGTACGCCGCGGCAGCCAGCGGCAGGCCGCCCAAAGCGACGGGTCGCCAGAGACCGCCTGCCCCCCGCCGCGGGGGCGCGGGCCTCTTCGGCTTCGGCTTCGCCATCTCCTGAAATTTTGGGGAGATCGAGCTTCTCCTGGGCTGGCCATGTTGATTGGAAATTCAGCATTGATGATTGCTATAAATAGTCACTGTGTAAATATAGCAGTCACACGTATCTCAAGCTGAACATTTTTTTTAGTGAATTTAGAATATTTTCTTTGACTAGCAAAAATACCGGTGAGTTGCAACGGGACAAATAATTTCTATTGTATGATGCTCGTATTAATAATAATAAATTATCTATTTTTATTGAATATTTAGATTTATTAATTGGGATTAATCTAACCTTAAATAAATCAAATAAATTCTATGGCTGGCCGCCCTCGACTCAACAACTGATAATGGGCTCACTCGCTTTGCCGAGGCGCGGCCACGGAAGAGGTTGCCACTTACCAGTGCAAGGTGCGTCCAAGGAGTTCATCGGCTTAGGGCTGATCACGGTAGGGAGGAAGTTACAAGTTGGAGGGAAAATTTATCATCTTCTTTTTTTTTTAAGGAGTTGTTTTACCAAGATTTTGGAGGAGTGTTTTTTTCTTTTACCAAAATACTCAAATAGAGAGTTTATATTTACTATAAGCTCCTAGAGTTGCTCTAAAGCAATGTTCATATTGTGATTTGGCTGAGGCACCACACATGATTGTAACTTTGTTCTATTGTAGTTAATAAAGCTCCCTGGTAAGCAAGAAATAAATACCTTAAGGGCCTGTTTGGAACAATGGAATGGAAAACACAAGAAATAAAGGTGAGTGTGGTCACAAAACTAAGAAAAGGAAAAACGTACTAAAGAAATAGAAGGAGATGTTTGGAACAAAGGAATTTATAACATAGGAATTACAAAAGCACATGGCGGTTAAAAGGCACTTATAACACATGATGACAAATCTTTGTAAAAGGGAAAGTGTGATTGATTTATTGTGTTTATTCTTATTTTATTGGTGGAACCTGCTACCATGAGCTTGCCAGCACTCTGGACGCCTCGGGCTTCCGCCTAGAGGAGAAAAAACAGATCACAAAGTGGAGTTTTTCATTCCTTTAAAAATGTTTAAGAGGCTACAGTATTCCGTAGGAAAGGAAAGGATGTTTTGCCGTGTTCCAAACCGCATACTTGTTTTCCTTTCCCCTGTTTCAGTTTCGTATGAATTTTTTATGAAAATCCTACAATCCAAACGGCCCCTAAGCCAAAGGAGACTCTCATTTTTTGTCAAACTTTCTGGGGTTAAGGATTAATTTCTAGACATGGGGCCATTATAAATGGGTAAACACCTTGCTTTAAAGTTTTAGTACCCTTCTTTGTTTAATATTGTTTGAAAAAACATGTAGCAATAGCATAAGTGCTCAGTACGAACCCTTTTATTGTCCTCTTGAGAAGAGCATTAGAGGCAAACAAATTCACGGATTGGTATAATATTGTTGCCCGTGTGGCTTTTATTAACAATAATGCTTGGTTTAGGGCATCCGGACAAACCGACCCCGCCCGCAAGACGCCAAAGAAAAAAAGAAGGGGCGTGCAGCTACAGGCGGGCCCACATCCGTCCTTTTGCGGGGCAGCGTATGGGAGAGTGTGCGGCCAGTTCGGGGTGCATGCGGCATTTGGGGAACCGTGCATGTGCATGACCATGGAGAGAGCCTCCTTATTGCGTCCGCTGCTGGCTAGACCCCTAGCCGCACGCGCCCAGGGCCACAGGCCTCCCTGTCGCACCTGCCCTCTGCTGCCTAGCGCCTAGGCCTGTTGGTGCTTGTCGTCCTACTTTTTTTTCTCTCTGTGTTGTCTACGCCCAGGCTAAGCTGCCCCCTTCTACATGTTACCTGCAGCGTTGCTGCTTTGGCCAACCAGATTAGCCAGTTGTAGGGCCGGCCAGGGCGCTTGCCTGTTTGTGAGAAGAGCGCGGGCCCACATCTACATGCGTCGTTTGTTTCTTCTGTGACGGTTGACCGTTGGCAGCTGAGTGCTGGCCTATTTTTTCTGTCACTCCATGGCATCAAGATCCGTATGTTTTCATGCCTTTCGGATGTATGTTTCATCTGGTGTTGCATGTGTTTTATCTAGATATTGCATATGTTGCTTTGGCTATACACGTATGTTGCAAGTGTATGTTTCATCTGTTTCAGACATGTTTCAAGTCTTTTATATGTATGTTGCATATGTTGCAAGAGCTATACACGTATGTTACAAGTGTCTGTTTCAAATATTTCACCTATTTCAAACGTATGTTGCAAATGTTTTATCTGGATCTTGCATATGTTGCAGTGGCTATACACATGTTGCAACCGTGTGTTTCAAATGGTTCACCTGTTTCAGACGTATGTTGCAGTAAGTGCTTCATGTCGCAAGTGTTTTCATTAGCATTTGCACTATGTTTCATGCGTTTTAGATGTATGTTTCATATATTTCATCTAAATATTACATGTGTTTCATCTAGATGTTGCAAAAGTAGATCTGATGTTGCAAATGTAGATATAGTCCCCACCTGCATGCACGTCCACGGCGCGCGCAGCACAGAAGCGAAGCGAGGGACGCAACAACATGCGGGGGCACGAGCGTGGGTGGTCCCCACCTGCATGCACGGGCGCGCAGCACGGGATGAAGTGAATGCGCAGCATCAGGCACGGGCTTGCATGCGTACGTGCAACACCATGTGGGGTAGACAGGCACGCGCTAAGTTGCAGCCGCATGGGGGACAAGCGAGGCAGGCAGCGGCATGTGCAGCATGCAGTCAGACTCATCAGGCATGCGAGGCGGGCGCAACAAACAGGGCAGGCGCGAACGTCCGGACGGGGGCTAGTGTCCGAACGTTCGGGTGCTAGCCACGCCCTTTTATTAATCCTCAGTTTGGATCATTTGTGTGGAGTTTACAAAAAGATGGCAAATTCACAATCTATCCAGTGTATAGCTTTCTTGTCAATAATTGCACGTGAAATTTAGCATTTAAAAACATATCAAAAAAAAAATTATGTGATAATTTAAAATAGGGGTCGTCTTGATTAAGGAGAATATAGTATAGCTTGTCGAATTTGGGAAAATAGTATTTTTTGTTACTTTTGTAGTAAAGTAGAAACTATTTAACACATATTCTTTGAATGTCATTATGCCAAATCTCTGGCACTTTTTGTGCGATGTACCTTGTTTTAGGTGTCTCAGCCCGACAAAGTTCAACTCATTTGTTTAGTTCTTAGTCTAAGTAAGGGTTGGAATTTTACATCTCTGTTCATTTTGTTGGACAATGTTTGAAAATTCTTTTGTTGGACAATTTGGCTCACAAAAAGTGATTTTGTGTTAAATAATGGTCATACAAGAATTTTTTTGTAGGTTTTATCCCGGGGACGCACTAGCTTTAGTTTTAGCCTCTATTGTAGCACACTAAGGAGAAGGAATATTTGGTTAGGACGTGCCAACTTCTAGAGTCAAAGTTATGTAATTTTTCACGTACCATGGATGTCCGTTTTGGTTTTGCATTGGCCAGTAATGTTAGACACTTTTAGCATTTTGAATTTGAGTCATTTTTAGAGAATGGCTAGATATCAACCGGTTGTTTTGGGAGTATCTGGCAACTGAATTTTGGGCCATCAGATATGGCACGTGGCGTGCTTTGGGCTGTCCGATTTCGCGCTCTCTCTCCCTTTGCCGCCTCCGCCTCTCTCTCTCTCTCTCTCTCTCTGTGTGGCTCCCGATTTCTTCCGCCGCCACCCCTGGCATAGGCTATTGCTCCGGCCATTGCTCCGGCCGCCGCCGCCCCCCGGCACGGGCGCGGGCATCCTCGGCGCGGCCGTCCTCGGCGCGAGCGTGGGCACAGACCCTGTCTGCAATCCATAGAATTTGTATTTTTTTTCTAAAATTTGTTAATAATTTGATGGCATTTGTAAATAATTTGACATATATTTCTCTGATATCTGGAATCCATAGAAATATTTGTATTTTTAATTTTTTTTTGCATATATTAGTGTTATTCCAAATTACATCACTCCGTTCAATAAATTGCGTTGATAATTTCATTGTAAATATAGTAATAAGACAACGTAAATATAGCTAAAAGATAGTATAAATACATGAGCAAAATTTAGTTGTTAGGAGAGGCTAAAACAACCTAATGTCATCCATTTTTATAATAGTCGTGATAGATTTGAAGCCAGGACAAATCTATTTTACATCTAAAAAAGCAAAGCTACCTATTTAAAAAAAATCACCTAAGACACGAAAAGAACCTCACGTTATGATTTCTCAGCTCACAGTGACCTGTCCCTTGCAGCTAAAAAACAAGGTCCCCTAAAACCTAGTACTGAGCAGTAAAGCCCCCCGACATTGATTTAAAACATTGGCCTAAATCAAGTACTCCTAAGCAAGTGCAGTAAGCAGTAAAGTCCCCAGGCCTAAATGGTCTCACACCCACAACGTCGTCGCCTTGTCGTGTGCAGCGGTCGACCGCACCGTCATCGTCGCCGCATCAGCACCACAACAATAGCCTGCCGGTATCACCACCTCTGGGTGACGTTGATAACGGTCCCAAGATCGAGGTCTCCGTCGTCGAGAGCAACGTGGAGCTTGCCATGTCTGGAGCAGACCTCTCCCTTGTTCTCGTCGCACTCGTTGGTGGAGACCAGCTAGCTGTCACGCCGGAGGAGTTCCAGGCACACCTTTCCTCGAGGTTCCGTGTGTCTGTGGGCGCGGCTGGGTCTGTGCTTGGCTTGGGGGCCCCTTTGCACGTGTGTGTCAGCTAGACGGCCACTCTAGCGTCGCTATGCGGGGAATACAAGTGGTGCACCCTGAGCCTGAGCTCGTAGTGGACCGTTGCTCGGAGGTTCAGCGTTAGGACTTTGATCCCATGCTGGTTGAGGTGGAGGCATGTATGACCAAAAGGCCACATCAGGCAGGTCCCACGAGCCAGGCCGTGTCGGAGGTGGCCCAGGCGGTAGACCTGTGCCTTTCAGGCCCAGACGAGTGTGGCTCGGGCCAAACCTCACCAAGGCCCTCGCTCTTGGTGCCGAAGCAGGCTGGAGGATCCCCACCC